GGGGGGGCATGGATGGTGTATGGTTTAGTCGTGTCGGGCGCATGTGTGGCTTCATGTACAGTACAAGGTATGCCATGGATGCAGATGACTAAAGGCGGGGGAATGACAGACGTACTGGAAGACTAGGCGGTCGGAGAGATTGACCGTGCAACGGGGCGTAGACGAGGCGTTGAGTTTCTTGAAGAGCGTCTTGGCTTGTTGCTTGTAAATCGCAAAGTTCTACGGGATCATGCAGAACAAGCACGCTTGATGAGAAGGCCATGGGCAGCTCCTGGAGGTCTTCTAAAGGTGCCCATGGTGGGTGCATACCTCATCGTTGTCATCCATGGACGCCGCCAGGGGCAGGCCGTCAATGACGCGCGCGATGATGGCTTGATGAATCATGGCACAGGTCACTTCCAAAAAGCCACCTGATCAGATGGATCTTCCCCCCGCCAACGTGAAAATACAGCTTGTGCACACATGCACGCACGGAGATGTCTGGCGAAGCACGTACACCCTTCTGCCCCTCCTCCCCTTGACCTCTATCCTCAACCCCGCTGCCACTTGAAGAGAAGAAGGAGCCCGCTGCCAAGTTCAGTAAAAGAGAGAGAGAGAGAGAGAGAGAGAAAATTCAGTTCTTTTGTTTCTGTTGGTTTGCCACGTCTCAAGTTGTGGTTGGCCTTAGATTGTCAGATAAACGCCACAAAATGTCAGCCAAATTTGTTGTCAGACAAATTTAGACCTTCGCAGGCGCAGATTTGAAAAGCATTGCCCATGCACTAAAGTGGTGTGTGTGTGTGTGTGTGTGTGATGGCGCAACATCTCTCTGTCCCCTCTCTCTCTCTGTCTCTCTGCCGGCCGGGTGCTGATAGTGCCCCTTGGGGTGTTGACAGGTTCATTTTGGAGCGAATCTGGTTGAAGCTGGATCGGGGAGAGGGTGTGGATGTATGGAAGACTGAATTGCTTGTAGGAGGCTTTGTGGTTGCTTGTTCAAGGCGTCTCTGAGCTGCCCCGGGTTTGGCACTGGCACCATGTTTCGACGTCACCCCAAGCCTGAAGCGGCGGAAAAGCCCAGTTCGCCGGATGTAGCTACTGCCGCTGCCGCCCTGGATCAAAGCAGTACTGAGCTGCTCACCTCAGAGTAAGCGCGCACACACGGCTGATCCGGCCTGGCACGGGTCCTGGGCCCTGGCCACGCAAGTCTTTATTACCGTGACTTTGTTGACTGACACTCACCGGCTTGGCCTGGCCTGGCTCTTGGCAGAGCCTTGTCCGAGGCAGAATGCTACGCCTGTGGCATGGTTTTGGCCACCTTGCTGCATCAGAAAAAGACGTGGGATTTGTAAGCCCTGTATTCCTCGGGCACGAGCCGTCCAAGACCTGGGGGTTCTGACACCGTCCCAGTCTCATCCTGCTGCTGCTGGGTACCTCAGAAAATGGCGCAAGGCACTACTCAGCGGACTCTTGGAGCGATACAAGCTTCAGCAATCCAAAAGCACCATGGAGGTGCGACTGCAGCGCATGCAGACTCCCTCTGCTTCTCACCCCGCTTGCTGGCAAGCATCATCTCACTCGTCACTCGTCGCTCATTGGTTTTTGATTCTGAATCTCGCAGCAAATCCTTGATGGCGAGGCCGCCATCTACGTGCCACCCCTGCTACAGGTCCTGCACGGTACGATCCCGTTGGCTGTGCTACACGTCCCCAGGGCACTCACGGTACCTCGCCTCTCTGATGATACTTGGGCCTTTTCCTCGACAACACCAGATCGTCGAGCCGTGTGTGTGCGTGACTTTCTGAGCAACGTTCTCAAGTCGGGGCTCTACGATGCGCGCGCGCGCGTCCTGCTTCGTGACTTTGCCTTGTGGCTCGACATGAGCCTGCTGGAGCTGGCCCAAGAAGAGACTCAGATTGCTGACAAGCTCACGCGCTATCGCAACGAGCATCAGGCCGAGGTGCGCCTCCTCGCCTCTCCCGTGGCACCCCCAAACCCGGCTTTGTGTTGCTCACCAGCGACGCGCCCTCCTTGTAGGTGGAGGCAGAGATGCAAGAACAAGAACGCCGAGCCCGCAATTCCAAGTGGTTCAAAGTTGGCGTGGCGGGCGTCATTGTGAGTTCCGCCGCCCGGATCCACCCAGACATCTAACATCATGCACTCGCCGCCGCACAACACATTTTTGTTCACGCACTTGTCCGGCCTCCCTTTTGCGTTTCAGGGTGGTGTGGCTATCGGCCTGACTGGTGGCTTGGCTGCACCGCTGGTGGCGGCGGGCATGGGAGCTGTTTTTGGCACTGGGGCAGCCGTGGCACTGGGTACCACGGCAGGCATCTACGCGATTGGCACACTCTTTGCCGTCGGGGGTACCTCCCTGACGGGTTACCACATGCATCGACGAGTGGGCAAGCTGGAGGAATTCTACTTTATGCATTTGTCGCGAACTGAGCAGCTGGACGTGACCATCTGCGTCAGTGGGTGGGCCCCCGAGGACGAACCCTTGGCTGACTACGTCAACCCTTGGCTGGCCTTGCCAGCTGGAAGTGACTATTTTGCCCTCGTCTGGGAGCGGGAACCCGTCCACGCACTGACTCGTGCCCTGACCCGAATGCTCAAAGACCAAGCCGTCGGCATGGCTGTCAACGAGGTCATCAAACACACTCTTCTAGCTGGCCTCATGGCGGCCGTGGCCTGGCCTGCAGGCCTCCTCAAGGTACGCCCGCGCCCGTGCTGTGCCTGGTCATTTGCCCTTGCCTTGCTGGGTTTGGCTTCAAGTCAGCGCCGTGGTGCAACTAGCCGACTCAAATGATTCACGCCTTGCTTTTTTGTTGGCTCTGCTTGTGGGCACTCCCCTCGCGCTTGCCTTAATTTAAAGGTTGCAAGCCTTCTGGACAACAGCTGGAGCGTTGCCTTGAATCGGGCCGATCATGCTGGCGTAGAGCTCGCAAATGTCCTGCTCTCGCGCCAACAAGGGGGTCGCCCGGTGCGCCTCGTCGGATATGCCCTTGGTGCTCGCGTCATCTTCAGCTGTCTTCAAGAGCTGGCCAAGCGCAAGCAAAGCCAGGGTTTAGTGGAAAGCGTCGTCATGATGGGACTCCCTGCCTCGGGCGCCCCCGGTTCGTAGACGCGAGACTCGTGCAAGGAAAGGGTGTTCATGGCGTCGCGTGGCACGACTGACGTCACACATCTTTGGATCATCACCACCCTCTCTAGATCAATGGAAACAAATCGACCGAGTTGTCGCCGGCTCGATTCAGGTCTTGCACTCGACCGAGGATTGGCTCCTCAAGTTCTTGTTCCGAGGCACTTCTGTGGAGGTGCGTCTTTTTCTTGCCCGCCGTCTTCCTTTCGTTTCCCCACTTTTCGTTCACGAGTGCTTCATGACGAACCTCTTGTGTTTGATGTCACGGCATGCCGGCTGGCCATATACTCTTTATTTTTTTTCTCTCTCTCTCTCTCTCATTTCTCTATGCGCTTGCCCTGTCATTCAGCTCGTGGTGGCCGGTGTGGAAGGCGTCATGGATGTCCCCTTTGTACAAAATGTCAACGTCACCGCTTTGGTGGGTTCATGGCACAGCAACTATCACGCCAAGTTTCGCCAGCTGCTCGGACTCGCTGGTGCGTACGCAGAGGCCCACTTGTATTTCTGGACGATTGCAGACATGCTTTGAGATGACTCCCCTCTCCGCCCCTCTCCACCCCTCTCCGCCTCTCTTTTACAATCGTATCTAGGCCTGCAAACACAAACTGCCGGCATGCCTCGCTCGGGATCCGAGGGTGCGCGCGTGGAAGTAGATGCGCTTGGCAGTGGCATCATCCGCCAGATCAGTAAGCGTGCGCAGAGTGGAGAGCCCGGAGGTGTTGTTTTCTTCTTTGCTTTTCGACACGTGTTGTGCTGCACTGACTGGCTCCTCCATATCTTACGTCCTGCGGGATGCTTCTCATCTCCGGTTGTTCGACGTTAGGCCTGAGTGAAAATGGTCAAATGCAGTACCGGGTCGCCATGAGCCAGGAGCCTGAGGCGGCCGCGTTGGCCGCGGCTACGGGTGTGCAGGCCGTCGAAGATGACTTTATGGCACAGCCGGGTTGTGCCTTGGTCGTCACCGACGCCGGACCTTCCATCAATGTGCAAGAGCAGCGTCGTTTCAAGGTACAGTCTTGCCTCAAAAACAGCGAACTTTGGTTTTTGGGTGTTGCCAGATTGCGCAGACGAATGAATTTTGAACGCGAATGACACTGTCTCACCGACGGTTGAACGGTGTGCGTTGTGGGCGGGCATGTGCAATCATTTAGAACTCGGCCTGCTATGGGCGTGTCTGCGCCAGCGAAGGCTTGCCCTGCGCACGGGCTTGCTACTCGCCATCGTGCACCACTCATCGCCAGCGCTGGGCGGCAGGCTTTTTGACGCAGGCTGAGCTCGAGGCCCAGCTACCCGTGGAGGTTGAGGAGGAAGAGGCGTCTGCCGAGAAGACCGACAAAAAGGCTGCCGACAAAAAGGCTGCCGACAAAAAGGCTGCCGACAAAAAGGCTGCCGACAAAAAGGCCGCGGCAAACCGCAAGCCGTCGCTGACGCCCAGCACCACCACTGACCCTTAGACAAACGGCACTGACATGTCCCATCTCACACGTGCGGTGCCACCTCAACGACTGCCCAATTTGACATCAACCCGCTCATGACAATTTAGTCCCGTCTCTCAAGCACACGACTTCCCACCTCGACCTTCTTCATCCCATGGCACTGACTGGAAAAGTCAAACCACTTTCATGTCAATCGCTGTCGCGGACCATGACATAGCGCGCATACGAATTGATGATGCAGAAAAGGCAGAAAACAAAGCAAAAAGAGTCCAATGTTGTGTCCGCTTTCATTTATTCATTCTTCTCTTGGCTTGCTAGCAAGCAAGCAAGCAAGCCGAAAGACACGAGCGAGCGAGCGGCAGCGGTTGATTTTGGTCAGGGGTGAGGGCTGACAGCGTTTTCCGCTCTTGTCCATCTGTGGCGCGAGGCCGGTTGTCGGGGGAGAAAGTTGCCGCACAAGCAAATTGATCGACGCAAGGGGAGGCCGACAAGCGCTCTACGTCTCCTTCTGACGGTCTAGTGTCTGGGTGCTTGGATGCCAAGCGTCGGGCTTTGTCGGCCAACGTGATGGCGCGGCTGCCGTGGTGTATGGTCTTGGTTGCCATCGTGGCCTGGCTGCTCGTCCCGAGCTACGCACAAAACACAGGCAACGAGGCAGCACTCGAGCTCACGGCTCGCACAGATCAGTTTTTCCGCTTTGAACTGGGGGATGACTTGGGGCTGGACGAGCCATTGGCTTTGCCGACCTGGGTACAGTTGCGCGAGGTTGGCCAACCAAATGCGCCAAACTTTTTCAATCTGACCACGTCGCCCCAGCTGACGTTGTTCGGACGAGCGCCAAGCAAGGCTGTCGTGCTGGAGCTTGAACTCCGGGTCATCACCCCGGCCCTGGATCAAACCTTTCCCATCCGCTTCAACGTCTCAACCGCAGGTGCACCACATACTCTGTTTCTTGTATTGGGATGGTCGTAGTTCTCCATCGGGTCGTCGATTGCGATGCTTTGGAGCCGCCTGGTCTTCTCCTTGTTCACGGTTGTGCGGGCACTTGTTTCTCCTGCTGCTTGGTAGACATTGAATACGCCACCGCGGTTACTTTTGAAATCTTCAACTACAACGCTTCACAGCTCATTGGACGCACGAGTCTGAGTCAAACGCTGACCCAGGTGTTCCTGGCAGCAGCGGCACAACTCGCTGCGCCGCAGGGATCGCGGGCCATCCGCTTGAGCAACATTGTACCGGGACCGGAACCCCGCAATGTGCCTCCCACAGACTATAACCCTCCCATCTTTCCAAATGCCTACCTCAGCTCTTCGGCCGTCCTGCGTGTGCTCGTGGTCGAGTCGACAACCTGTGCAGAGTGGGCTGACCTGGTCGCTGAGCTCTTCACCTTGGCTGGTTTTGACACCAATCTACCCAACAATTGCTCCACGACCACCCCGGAAGCAGGCCTCGCTGAGTAGGTGTCCGAGATTCGAGTTCCATCTTCAGCTGCGTTGCCCCTTCTCCTTTTACTTTCGCTTATTGGGGCTTTGTTCGGCTTGCAGAACCGTGTCAAGCATCGCCGAAGCCGTGGTTTATGACTGGCACCGCAGCCGGGAAGACTTTGACGAACATGTCGTGCCCTTTGTGGTGCTTGCGGCCTTGATTCTCCTGACGGCCCTCATTGTTACCCTCGTACATTACTGCCAAAAGTCGGACACTGAGGAGCGCATTCTTCAGCGGTATGGTGGCCATGGCTGCGTGGTGACCGCATCCCTTGTGTCACTGCTTGGGTAACATTGCCTTGGCCCCTCTTCCTCATGACTTCTCGCTGCTGCCTTGTCAAACTGGTCGCATAGACAACGCTTGATCCTGAATCGCCTGAGCCGCCATCGCAAACAAGTGTACCGCGATTCCTATGAAGGAACGGGACGTGCAGCCTTGCCCCGCGCGCGTGCATCGCCACCCATTCGCGAGAAGCTCCTGCACCCCACCCACGCTGCCCCCTTGGGCATGCATGGCGACGAACATAACCTTGGGAGCCCGCCACAATATCGGGCTCCGCCCGAGCATCGGTTTGATTAACACTTCGCCACCAGCGCTCAACAACGAGTCTCATACCCATGCCATGCCATGCCATACCATGACTTTTGGTGAGCCCGTCTCCTGTGGCGACTTGAGTTTTTAATGTTACGGTCGCACCCGGGCAGTACCAAGGCCTAGTTTCATTTGTTTGCTGTCACGGCCTGCATTCGTGTTTGCGTTTGCGTTGGTTTTGGTGGTGATGATGATGATAAATTGACAGTGTCAGAGATAAGGAACGACGACTTGTCGATCGAAAATAGCCTCAATTCTTAAACAGGTGTCGCGTGAGTACCAAGAGGGCAAACAACAGCGCTAGCTAAAGCTCCCGACTATTCGGGCACCTTGGACAAATTCATGTGGGTCTTGGCACCAAGCAGTTCATCACAGTTGATGCCGACCATGGCCACGCCCAAGTCCTCGCTCACCTCAGCTAGCAGCTATGTCCAGAGTGCAACACCGCGTGCATGAGGACGAGCAGACCCCCAATCTAATCAGTCTAGGGTGGATGAGGCCCGAACTGCATTGGTGGCGTTGTGGATGCCTTACCTTGGGATCGTCGTAATGGGTGACGGCTTGCACAATGGCGCGCGCGCGCTTGGCCGGGTCGCCTGACTTGAAAATACCCGAGCCGACAAAAACTACAGGGCAGAAGCAGCGCATGCAGCGTAAATCCTCGGGTGGCGGGTGTGCTCGCAAATGGGGCAATGCGACAAGCAGGGAAAGGGGGAAAACACTGACCACCGTCGCAGCCCATTTGCATCATCATGGCAGCATCTGCTGGCGTAGCAACACCACCGGCGGCAAAGTTGACGACGGGCAGCCGACCCAGGGTGAGGATCTCCTTGACGAGCTCGAGAGGCACGCGTTCCTTGGCCGCAACCTGTTGAAGTTGACGCTCGTCCAGACCGCGGAGTGCACCAATTTCCTCGGCAATGGTGCGCACATGCTTGACAGCCTGGATCACGTCTCCCGTGCCGGCAGCACCCTTGGTGCGGATCATCGAGGCACCCTATGGTTGGGCAGCCAATCACAACAATGCATTTTCAGCATGATAGAGGGTGGGCATCGTGGACCCGTGGCGATGCGGCAAACCTCATGAATACGGCGCATGGCCTCGCCCAGGTTGCGGGCACCGCAAACAAAAGGCAGCTTAAAGTTGTGCTTGTCAATGTGGTACTTCTCGTCCGCTGGGGTGAGGACCTCTGACTCGTCAATATAATCAGCCCCGATGGCCTCGAGAATCTAAGGAATTGGCCCCACGGGTGAATGCATGGTTCAGCATCAAAGCAATGCAACAAAAAAAGGAAAATGGTGCGTGTGTGTTGAGGGGGGGGGCTGAGTCAGTAAGACAAACCTGGGCCTCGACAAAATGGCCAATACGAGCCTTGGCCATGACAGGAATGGTCACGGCAGCCATAATCTCACGGATTAGCTTGGGGTCGGACATGCGGGCAACACCACCTAGTAGTTGTGTGGGATGAGTCCAGCACAAGATCTCTGGCAGTGGAAGATGATGACCATATGGAGCAGGCGGAGAACGGGGCGACTGCACAATGTACCTTGAGCACGGATGTCTGCGGGCACACGTTCGAGTGCCATGACGGCACAGGCACCAGCTTCCTGAGCAGAGCCAACAGTAAGTCAGACATGGCCATACGAAACTGGGCCATTTAGCCTGAGCAGTAAAGCTGGCGGATACGATAGAAAGCAACGGGGGAAAGGATGGGGGTTCACCGCTATACCTCGGCGATCTTGGCTTGCTCCGCATTGACGACGTCCATAATGACACCGCCCTTGAGCATCTCAGCCAGTCCCCGCTTAACCGTGGCGGTGCCTAAAGGTTAGCGGTCATGGCAAAACAGAGAATGAGGCTACGCGGCGGGAGCACGTGCCCTTCACGTGCCAGTGGTCGGGGTTGTGCAAGGCAAGCTGACTTGTCAAGCGGTCGAAAGGGTTGGCCCATACCTGTTGCTGCACCCGTGCCTTCAGTCTGCGCCATCTTTGCCAGATTTGTAACTTGCGATCTGCCTAACAAATAGGGACAACGACAGCGTGAGTGAGACCAAGTCTTGTCAAGGATCGTCCGACCGACAAGAGACAGCGCAGGAGCAGCGAGCAGGGGGGCCAGCGCCGAGTGCACGAGGACCATCCGATTTTTCCCAGCACTCTCTGGCAACCCAGTCGGAGCAAATTCCCAGACACAAGGCCCGTGCCATCAACACACACTCAAGAGCAGCGGCGGAGACAGGGCAGAGCCATCGAACCAGAAAAGAAGGAAGAGGAAAATGATCCCGGCAAATGCACTCCAGAAGCCACTGGATGACTCTGTGTGTGTGTGTGTGTGTGTGTGTGGTGTGTGTGTGTGTGTGTGTGTGTGTGTGTGTGTGTGTGTGTGTGTGTGGGCAGCAAGATCTTAAAGGTGGCTGCAACACACAACAATAAGAAAGAGGTGCGTTTGTTATGAGTTTGACCCGTGCCACATCACAACACTGCAATAAAAGTGTCAGGGAGTTTTTTTTCGTGTGTGTGTGTGTGTGTGTGTGTGTGTGTGTGTGTGTGTGTGTGTGTGTGTGTGTGTGTGTGTGTGTGTGTTTGGAGGGGAGT